CCACTCATCTGTTGGTGGACACTGCCTAGTTTCATCTCTTGACTATTGTGAATTATGCTGCAGTAAACATGGGTAGGAAGGCATCCGTGTAGTAGTCTGTCTTTAATTCCTTTTAGTTGTATACCAAGGGGTGGTATAGCTAGATTAGATGGTAACTGTTTTTAATTTTTGAGGAACTTCCATAGTGATTTCCGTAAAGGCTGTACTAATTCACACTCCCACCAGCAGTGTAGAAGAGTTCCTTTTCTCCTTTGCATCCTTGCCAGCATTTATTTTTTTCTGCTCTTTTTTTTTTTGTATTGGGGATCAAGGGCTTTCACGGTGAGCTACATCACCAGGTCTTTATGTTTTAATTTTGAGACAAGTTCTCATTAAGTTGCTTGCTTAGTCAAACTGGGCTTAAATTTGCGATCCTCCTTCCTTACTCTCTCCTCCATACCAAGCTTGTTTTCTGTCTTCTTCTTTTTTTTTTTTTTTTTTTTTTTTTTTGGTACCGGGGATTGAACTAGTGCCCTTGCACTTGCAAGGCAGGCCACCGAACCGCTGAGCTAAATCCCCGGCCTGTTTTCTGTCTTCTTAATGACAGCCATCCTGCCTGGAGTGAGATGGAATCTCAATGATTTGCATCTCCCTACTGGCTCAAATGTTTGAACAAATTTTCATATTCTTGTTGGCCACATGTACTTCTTTGAGAAGTGTCTGTTTAATTCATTTGCCCATCTCTTGATTGGGCTATTTGACTTTTTGGTGTTAGTTTTCTTTCAGTTCCTTACATATTATAGATTATTATTCCTTTGTTGGGAGAGCAACTGGCAAAGATTTTTCTCTCATTCTGTAGGCTGCCTCATCACTATATGAGTTATTTCTCATATGAAAATTTTAAATGTGCAGAAAATTTTAAATTTGAGTAGTCTCATTTGTTGATTGTTATTTTTTTCCTGTGCTATTGGAGTCCTATTTCAGGATATCTTTGTGCCTGTGACTTCAAGTATTTTCCGTGTTTTTTCTTCTAGCAGTTTCAAAGTATTGAGTTTTTTTTTTTTTTGAGTCTTACACCTATGTCTTTGATCCATTTTGAGTTGATTTTGGTGTGGGGTAAGAGATAGGAATCTGGTTTCAGTCTTCTACTTACAGATATCCAATTTTCCCAGAACCATTTGTGAGAGAGGCTGTCTTAGTCACTTTGTTGTTGCTGGTGCACAGTACCTGACACCCATAAGTTAAAGAGGAAAGGTTTATTTTGGCTCACAGTTTGTACAGGTTTTAGTTCATCGCCAGCTGCAATCCAGAAAGGACATGGGGAAGGATCTATAGACCATAGCTACTCTCCTCATGACAGCCAGGAAACAGAGTGAAGGGAGGAGCTGGGAAGGGAGATATACCTTTCCAGGACATTCCCACAGTGACCTGCCTTTTCTGATCAGACCTAACAGCAAGTCAGCTATAAAACCCCTATAATCCACCCACTTTCCAAACACATGAGGTTTGGGGGCCATTTCCTTTTCTTGTATTTGTTTGTTTGTTTGGCTTTTTTGAGATGGTCCCACTCTAGCATAGGCTGGCCTTGAACTCACTTCTGTCTTCCTGAGTGCTGGGATTATAGGTGTGAGCTACTACACCTGGATGGGGAGGGGTGGGCATTTAATTAATTAATTAATTTATTTATTTTTTGGGTACCAGGGATTGAACCTGGGTCCTTGCACTTGCAAGGCAGGCAGCAGAACCACTGAACTAAATCCCCAGCCCCAGGCATTTTAGATCTAAATCCTAACAGAAGCTATTTTTTCTCCAGCATGTATTTTTGACTCTTTTATCTAGAATCAGGTGGCAAAAGTTTATGGGTTTCTGTGTACTCCGCTATGTTCCACTGGTCTATGTGTCTAATTCTTTTGCTAGTACCTTGCTGTTTTTGTTATGACTTTGTAGTATGATTTGAAATCTGGTAAGGTGATGCATCCACTTTTTTCTTTTTGTTAGGATTGCATTGGCTATTTTGGATCTTTTCTGTTTCCACATGAATTTAGGATTTTTTTCTTTAGGTCTGTGAAGAATGTTAGAATTTTGATGGGAATTATGTTGAATTTATAGATTGCTTTTGTCAATATGACCAAGTTAAACAATTTTAATTCTGCCAATTCATGAACATGGGAGGGAGGTCTTCCCATTTCCTAGTCTTTTCTTTGATTTCTTTCTTTAGTAGAGGTCTGTAGTTTTCATTGTAGAGATCTTTTACCTCCTTAGTTAGGTTGGTCCTTAATTTTATATTTTTGAAGATATTGTGAATAAAATTGTTTTCCTGAGTTCTTTCTCAGCTTATTCATTATTGGTATACAGAAAAGCTACATGTTTATTTTATTTTATTTTGAGACAGGGTCTCACTGTATAGTTCAGACTGCCCTGGAACTCACTGTGTAGCCCAGGCGATCCTCCTGCCTCAGCCTCCCGAGTGCTGGGATTACAGGCATGCATTACCATGCCCAGCTCTATATGTTGATTTTAGGTCATATATGTATCTTATTAAAATCATCCCTGAGTATTTTATCTTTGTATTATTATTAAAATTTTTATTTTCTAGTATTTCATTACTGTGCAGTATATAAAATAGAATTTATCCTGCATTGTTGTGCCTTTCGTTTCAGTATCCTAACTGTAAATTCTTTGTTTGTTTGTTTGTTTTGAGACAGGGTCTCACTATGTAGTTGAGACTGACCTGGAACTCACTATGTAGCCCATGCTGGTCTCGAACTCACAGTGATCCTCCTGCCTCAGCCTCCCGAGTGCTGGGATTACAGGCGTGTGCCACCACACCCAGCTTCTAACTAAATTCCTTAGGAATTTCTTTTTTCTTTATATATGATCTATTCTTCTGCAAATAAATACATTTTTCCCTAGGTTTTATGTTATTTATTTCTTGTCCTTTCACCTTATCTCTGAACCCTTATTCTTGACCTAGGTGGCATTTGGTTCATATTTGTTTGCTAATAATAATGGCAGTTATTTCTGAGCACCTACCATGTGGTAAATATTGCACTAGGCCCCCTGCACGTACTATTTTATATAATAGTAATAATAATAATGATGTTATTATTATTATTATTTTGAGACAGGGTAGTTCAGACTGGCCTTTAACTCACTATGTAGCCAAGGCTGACCTTGAACTCACAGCAGTCCTCCGACCTCAGTCTACTGAGTGCTGGGATAACAGGCATGTGCTACCATGCCTGCCTATTTTATATAATGCCCCTGAAAAATAGCAGTTGTTGAAGAACAAGAACAGAGGCTCAGAAGGGATACATGATTTCCCAAGATTGCTTGGCATTTGGTGCGCAGCGGACCTGGGATTTGCATCCAGGGATATTTGGCTTTGAAGCCTCTGCTTTTATCTACAGTGGGCCGTGGGCAGAACTGGCCCTTTAAGGAGACTCTGGGGTATCAGGTCCGACTGATGAGAATAGCTCTCTCACCAGAATCCCTTGTATGGGATGATGGGAAAACAGAGACTCTTAGAAAAATGTCATGTTCCTGGCTGCCCTCTGCACTGCTGCAGTTCCAGCTGGCTGAGGAGTTACTTCACTTTTGTCGTGTTGGCGGAAGAAGTTAACAGGCGCAATCCCCATCTGGGTCCTGGTGCCTTTCCCTGTGTGGTGACTACCTCACCCAGGCCCTGCTGGGAAGGGGTATCGGGGGACCTCAGCTGTAATCAGGGCGGGGCAGCCTGAGTCAGTACAGCCTTGGGGGAAGCTATCCGGCTTCTCAGGATCCCATTTCAGTTGGCTGCCAAAGACTGACTGTCACTGTCTTGCAAGGTCACTTCTAGCGTCACTGTCTCTGAGCCTGTGGGGCTGGCTGAGCTTTACGAGCCCTGGCTGAAAGGCAGGGGCAGGGAGAAACTTGGCAGCACAACCAGTGACATCAGCACTGGTGCTGTCTGGGGGAGTCAGATGGGATTTTGGAGAGGAATCAGTGGCTGCAGACCTCGGTCTCCTGGCTGGCCCTCTGGACACTGCTGCTTTGATTGTTTCTCGATAGCTCTTTTATGGGTCACTTCTCCTGGGCTTCAGATTGTCCTCTTAATGAGTGACCTGCTGCAGGCCCCAGAAAGAACTGCCCTCGTTAGCAGGTTAGTGCTTTTACCCAGAGGAGTCACCTGGCACCAAATCAGATTACTCCGTGGCACTCTTTACCCAAACATGCCCTGATCTGAGTCCAGGAAAGTTGTGCTGGCTGTCAGGATGGAAGGGTGAAGGTCGGGACTTGTGTGGGGTGGGTGGGGAGGTTGGCTAATTTTTTTGTTGCTGTTTCTGGGAATTGAACTCAGGGCATGCTAAGCACGAGCTGTACGACTAAACCACACCCCTAGCTCCTGGGCTAATCTTCATTTTCCAGGTAACTAGCCAACTTCTGTCAGGCTGGTCACTGTCAGTCACACTGTTTTGCCCATGCTTGGGGACCTCTGCCCAGATGCCTGCTGGGCGGCCATTACTTGCATGAAAGGCTTGTGGCCCCGTGGGCCTGTGTGTGCTGGCAGTGTGGCACACATTTTCCCAACAAATGGAGAGGGAGCTCGCATCCGTTCCTGACGGCAGCTGTGCCTACTGCGTGTCTCCTGGCATCTCTCTTGTCTTCCCTGCCACTGCCTGAGTATTCCAGTTGCTTCTAGATCTAGGTGACCTTATTGCTAACCTTACCCCTAATTTTAAAAAATGCTGATAAGCTAAGGCTTTTTCTGGCTGCCAGAAACTCACAGTTAACATGACATGTGGAAAACCGTAAAAGCTAAAGGTGAAAGACAGAGCGTGTAGCTCCAGAACGCTGTCCTGGCCTCAGAGGGTGTAAGTCACCCAAAGCTGGCTGCTTGGCGAGCGCTCCTGTAGGTCAGGGCGGCAGGGCAGTGGTAGTTAGGTCCTGTCCCACCCTGTGGCTTACATGGGCCCGTTGTGTTGCATCCTAGTTGCCCAGTCCTGCAATATAACTTACATGATTTTCTCTTCTTTTCCTAGATGCCGTGACTGTGCAGACTTGCTGGGGTTTGTCCATGCTGGGGAGGGACCTTCCTTTCGGGGGTGACCACGTTCATCTGGGCATGCCTGCACTACCCTGGGCCCATGGACTTGAAGGTGAGGAAACATCTAGTGTGCCTTGCTTTGGTGTCATATGGCTGTCCCTGGGGTGTCTCTGGCCCCGTCTAGGTTTGCTAGAAGTCTTCATTTGGTTTTTTTTGTTTTGTTTTGTTTTTTTGGTATTGGCGATCGAACTTGGGTCCTTGTGCTTGCAAGGCAGGCGGTGGAACCACTGAGCTAAATCCCTGACCCTCACCTGGATTTTATATCCAGAGTGAAAGCAGGTGTGGCTCTGAGGCATGGGGATATGACTGTGACTCCTGTGAGGGTCATACTGCTTGTTTGGAAAGGACAAAGGACGAAGGGCAGATCTGTTAATACAACTGCATGGCAGTGGGGTTTCAGATTTGGCTTGGCCCTGAGCCAGTCTTCCACTTCTTGCCCAGAGGTATGCAATTCAGTTTGTTTGCTCTTTGTTAAGGCTGTGCCCCAACTTGTTGAGCCATGTGGAGGGCTCCTGGGCAACCTATCTGTGGGTAGGGACGAGCTTGCTGTCAGCCTCCAAACACAGATGCCTCCTCAGCCGGAGGAAGCAGCCTGGAGGTCCAGACTGCCTGAGAGATTGGCCTGGCCTCCAGCTGTACCATCTTTGGATGGAGGTAGATTTTTCAATCAGAATATTTGTCTCCCATGACAAAGACTGCCCCACCAAAGTCACTGTGTCTCTGTCTCTAGTTTGGCTGCTGACAAAGGGGCAACAGCTCTGTGCTACCTTCTGAACCCTGGAATGTATATGAGGCCTCCCGTCATGCTCCTGCCCAAGGGCCCAGCATCATAGCCTGCCTTGCCTTTTACCTCTGATGTTCTGTAATCTTCTGGGTTTGGGCATGTGTACCATACTGAAGTTGTTCCCTCTAAAAATGCTCCATTCTTTTCCCTAGCAAAGTCCTCTTACCCTTTTTCAAGATCTAGTGCAGCCATTATCTTTGTCAGATAAGTCTTCCAATCTCCAGAGATCCCTGCTCTCAGCATTGATGGTACCTCCACCATCATGCCTGCTATACTCTAAGGAAGCAATGTGTCTCTTTCATTGTATTTCATTATCCCTGGTGCCCAGCACAGAGTCTGGTGTATAGCAGGGGCTTAGAAAATATTTATGGACTTGAACTTCTGGGCAGTGATTTACCTGCCAGAGGGAGCTGTGGGCTTTTGATGGTGCCTGACTGACTGCAGCCTGTTTAGCTCCAGGCTTCCTGTACCTCTGAACCAGCTACACCACAGGCTTGTGGACTTGAACTTGAAACAGGTGTGTTCAGCCTCCTGTTCATAACCACCTCTGGCTCCTCTGTGTCTGTCCTAGCAGTGATTGGCATTGAGGGAAAACTACGCTTACCTCCCTCCTCGCCTGGGTGCAAGGCTGTTCTATACAGCAGTAAATGTTGTGCACTGCTCAGTTCAGGGAGCACCCCTAGAGACTCTGATGTGATCTGCCAGGTGGGGCTGCCTGCCCCCTAAACAGAGGACAGTGTTGTCCTGATTCCAGCCTGTTGCTGAAGCACCAGCGACCAATACTGTGTATTGGGGAAATAGAGTTCTGTGATTGAGGGGGATGGCTTTACCCTAGAGCCTGAGGGAGAAGCCATGGGAACCTGCTGGGTGCCTCTCAGGGCCATTTTTCCTGGAGGATTTTTCTGCATCCTCATCTTGTTGAATAGATGAGTCCTGAACCAGAAAGCCTCATCAATGTCAGCAGCAGCCGTATTCGTGGAATATTGACTTTGGGGAGGTGGCCCCAGGCTCAGAGAGGTTTATAGTCTAGTAGGAATCAGCACAAGCAATTCAGGAATAGGCCCTGATGGAATTTGTACCTGTGTATGTTCCTTTACCCATCAGGGTTTGTATAGATTATCCCGTGGCCCAGGACAGTGGCCCTGTCAGAGGCATCTTGGAGGAGTTGGTATAGTGACAGTTGATGGTCAGGTGGTGTTTGGCTCCGTGACTTGGCCCAGGATCGATTTTGCTATCGCTGGATGATTTCTGGCGCCCAGCTTCCCTCTCTTTCAGACCCACCTGCCCTCAGCCTCCCGTCCAGCCCAGGCAGGATGTGCTGCAGCAGTGGTGGCTTGGGCTCCTGCCCCTGGGATGCTTCTCTTTCCTGTCACTGAAGCAGACCCTGTGTGAGGAGGCAGGAGAGGGAAACGTCTGCATGATACCTGGGACAACCCTTCCATGTTCTCGCCTTCAGGGCCTGCCACAGAGAAGGGCTCAGGAACAGGAGTCCTCCTGGGCCACAGCCTGTGATCCTCACAGTGGCTGGCACAGAAGCTGACCCCGCCCACCTCCCTTTCCTGCTCTCCACAGAAACTTCCTGCCCTTAACCTCTGGACCGCCCCACCCCTCCTTTCTGACCCCATTCAGCTCTGTTTGGCAAGGGCCCCACGGGGAGCTGCCAGAGCAGCTAAGGGGGAGGGGTGAGGCTGGCTGTGCAGACTCCCTCTTCCCTTCTCTGAAGCTCAAGATGTGGTCGTCCAGGAGACTGAGGGCCCTGGAGAAATGCGCTCAGCCTCCAGCCTGCTCTCCAGCTAGGGGACCATTAGGCTATCTCCTGTCCCAGGGGTATTGTAGCCCCATTCTTAGGATGGCCTGGCCATCAACGGAGAAGTCCTGTCCCCTCCCAGTGCCTTGGCCCTTCCTTCTCCCAGGATGCCTGTGGGAACTTTCCTTAGGTCAAATTAATCCCAGAGGCATCCCTGTTTGGTGCCCTGGGAAGTGTGACGTCGGAGCCCCACGTGCTGGCTGCCCCTTTCTGTCCGAGAGTTGAGGGCCCAGGTGTACCCAGGCAGCCCCTGGTCCTGGCAGCTCTTGTCGGGTATGTCTAAATGTGGCTGTTCTCTTTATCCATTGGCTTGCGGGGAGGTGGTCCCTGGCTGGGAGGTGCTGGAATCTTCAAAGACCCCTCCTTTCAGCTGGCTCTGTCCACCGTCACTGGATTCTTCCTTCCTCCAGCTTCCTGGCCCTCTGCTTGGCCTCCTAGAAGTCACTGCTGGAGCCTTCTCAATGGCCAGTGCTCCCCCTCTGCGCAGGATGTGTTGCTATTAATAACATACTACTGTAGTCCCCTTCCCTGCTCCCTGCAGCTCGAAGTGTGGAAGGAGCTGCTTTTGGCTTGTCTCCACGCTGGGATCCTCTGAGTGATTTGAGGAGCTCTCACAGATCGTGGGCTCACCTGCAAGGGGACTGCTAACCTTGTCCAGTGACCTGGGGGCAATGGACAGGTAGTGAGGGAAGAGAATTGGTATTTATGTACCCCAGGGGAATGGCTGGATCCCAGTGGTTGTTGTGCTCAGGTCCCAGGGTCTTTGCAGCTTCTGCCATCTCTCCATCTGTCTGTACTCGAGCTGCACATCCTCCCGCTCCTCACCCTGCAGTGGCTTCCTCTGAACAATGAGCCAAGCTCCTGGACATCTGGCAGAGCACTGGGCAAACTTTCTCCTCTCGGTCCTTTCTCCTTTCCTCCTTCCTGCGGCCCCTCCCTCCCTGCATCCCTCCCTCTCTCCCTCCCTCCCAGGGCTGCTGTTGCAGCCTGCCTCTACTGCCTGCTGTCTCCTCCCTCCCTGAATCTGCGGCGTGACTGGAAATAGGCTGAATTAATCAGCAGATTGAAGCTCTGCTCTGCTGCGCCGCTTCTCAGCAGCACCTTCTCTGCAGCTCCTCCTCACTCACGCGTGTTCCAGCCCTCTCCTGTCTTCTCACACCCTCTCTCTCTGTTCTGCCTCTCCCCTTCTTTCTTGAGGGTGACATTGGAAGTCACCGTAGCTGATCACTCGTGGCTCAGGCTCTGCTCCATGCTCTTTAAGCAGGCAGAACTATGGATGCCTCACCAGGCCAAGCCCAGCACAGTGAGTATGCCAGCTTGGTTTTCTGTTTCTCTTCATGCTTCCTTCCCTGCTTAGTGAGGGAGTCTTTGGGTTCATGGTTGCCAATTGCGTCCTAACGATGAGCAGAATGGGAGGCAGCTAGAATGGGAGGCAGCAGGATCTTGGAAGGAGATTAGGAATGAGAGCCAAAAAACATGTCTTAGAGTTGACAACTGGGTGCCTGAGTTGCCTAGAAGAGGCCTGGTGCCCAGGCCTCCCGGAAAGGCATCCTACCAAGGGATGCTGGGACCCGGGTCCCCAGGCACAGGTAGCAGAAGCCAGTGAAGGGGCTTTTCCTCCCAAACCATACAGATCACCGTGCCAGGAGCCATCAGGGCTGGAATGATTTCTTCCCAAGTGCCGCTGGCTGCAGGACGAGGGGAAGAAAGTGAGTGAGAGGGGCCAAGATATGCTCAAGCCCGGGAAAGTGAGGTAGAGAAGCAGCTTTGCTTTGCCTCTGGTTCACCCGGCTGCAGATGTGTCCCATTGTGTGAGACCCAGAAGTCACTCAGAGTGTGTCTGAATCTCCTCAGTGACTGGGGATTTGTTGAGTTCAGCTTTGAGTCCCCTCTCTGCTTGCCAAGAAGGTTGTGATAGGGGGAACTAGAGAAGGAGCCCCTAAGTGGCCGTCAAGCCTTAGGTCAAGATCTGAATTTATAACTCAGCCTAGGAACCTTGATCCTCTTGTCCCTGATATAAGGAAAACTACTGCTGTGTGAGAGAAGGGGATCTGCAAGGATGGAGGCTGCGGGCAGGGGGCTTCTGCTCTGAGAAACTTGGCTGAGGTGGGTGTGGGAGAGCTCAGGTATCAGCTCTTGGAAGGCTTGTTAGACTCTCCAAGCTTTGCACCTTGGCTGTGACTCCTGCTCAGTGGCAGATCCTTGTGAGTGTGATTTGGAGGACAGAGTTCTTTCACTCCCAAATTCCTGACCCTGCTACAGCACCCTCACCTCGGATGGCAGAACAGAGAGAACAAGCCCAGCTTGCACGGGTGTCAAGACTTCTAGCGTCGAATTATTCTCTCCCTTGGTCCACTTTAGCCTGAGCACTTAGAACAGCAGGCTGGGGCTCGCTCTACCTGGAAAGGTTCAGTGTCCTCCTTCCTGGTCCCTCTGGGGTAGAGTCATTATTCCCGGCCCCAGGAATGTCTCTAGAGCTACCTGGCAGTGGAATGGGGAGGTATTAAAATGTGGGTAGCAGGCAGCATCTCTTGTTACCTTTGGGTACTTAAGGCCAGGTCCAGTCTTTCCTCACCCTTTCCCCACCCTCTAGCAGACATGAAAAGCAGACCTTAGACTACACATGTCTGCTTCGGTCTTATTTCTCAGATAATAGGAACTTGTGAGCATGCCCAGGCACACGGGTTCCCCACTTAACTCTGCTGAGAAAGGCTAGCAGCAGTTGCTCCTCACCCACCTACTCTGAATCCCCCTCAGAAAGCAGGCGATATAACACCAAGCTGCTTAGCTCTGGTCCTTCTGTCACTTGGGGAAAAACTGAGGCGGGATGAGGAAAGGCAGCACTTTGACCCCCGCTGCAGAGGAGTGAGCTGAACAGGCTTGGTTGGCATTTGGATCACTCTGTTGAAGGCTGAGTACTCGCCACAGGGTCAGCCTGTGCGGGCAGGCGCTTCCTTTGGGCGGCATGTAATTACAGAATGGCTTATTTTCTTTCTGTTGTGCTGTCTTTTAATCCCCTGTCTGGAGTCGGGGCCTCCGGCCAGACACAACATGCGGGGGCAGAGGCATACAGACAGCTCTGCAGGTCCTCTGCCCGGGAGCATCTTCCACCCTCTGGCCTGTGCCTCACCCATCTGGAGAGAAACAGGGCACCTGGGGAGGGGAGAGCAAGAGAGCGGTGACGGCTGGACAGCCCAGGTCCTGATGAAGTCATAAGGACAGCCACTGTGCCGTCCCAGGGAGTCAGTGAGTGTCTCGGGCCTGCAGGCCTGGCTGAGGAAGACCGCCCCCGTGCCCCTTTTAGCCTTTTCTCTGCCTCAATGGAAGCTTTCTTTCTCCAATGTGGGGTCCCCATACTGTGCCATGCAGCTTCCCAGGTAGTCCCTGCGCCCTGTGTGGTTTTCCCCAACCCTTCCTTTCTTTCTCCTGTTCAGACTCCTTCTCTTGGGTGTGCAGCCCTTCAGGTCAGCCGGCCGGCCCTTTCTGCCTCCAGCATGTTTTCCCCTTGGTCATTTCTGGAGGTGTGGCCCAGGCCCAGCCATCCTATCCATCTCGTGAGCTCTTAAATCCCTCTGTGGAGAGGAAGGCTGGGCCCGAGGGGAGGAGGCTCAGCATGAGGGAAGGTGCTAGGGGCCTGAGCTTCCCAACGGGCCTCAGATCCTCTTCTTCCCTTACTGGGGTGGAGGTGGGAGGATCTGGCATCACCACTTTGACCCAGTCCTGTAGATATGAGCTCATGGGCTCCTCTTCCCTTCTCTTGTGTCTTTCTCCATTTGAGCCTCCCTGAAGTCCTCCTCCTCCCATGTCAGAAGCTCTGGGAGGCTGTGGACAGACTTAGCTTGCCTGATATTCATTTGTCCTATACCATCTGAGGAAGCCTAGGATCCTGCAGAGGGAGGTGGGTGCTTTGGAATACAGTGTTTACCAGGCTGCATTATAGGTTTCCTGCCCAGAGGCCATTTCTTCCTGAGCTAAAATAACTGGTCTATCCCCAGTGGGACGAAGCAACTCTTATCTCCATAATCCACCAAAGCCACAGTAGAGAACAGGATTAGGTGAGATTTAGGTTAGGGTGCTGGAAATCTTGGGACTGAGCCCATTCTGGAAACCAAGGCAGCTGGCGGCAGATGACACTAGGGCTCCACTCAAGTGTGTGGCGCTGGGACCCTGTAGCCCCTTAGAGTTGTGGGGGTGCCCAGGCCAGACAGCCAGAGAAGAGGCGCCTGTGGAAACAGGCAGAGATGAGAAAGTGCAGAACATCATCAGGCCAAGCCAGCACAGGCCCCTGGGGAGGGCAGATCTGTGGGTCATCCGAGTGAGGGGAGCAGAGGGGAGGACAGGGGATCAGGTGACATGGTGGCCCAGCACCACAGCTGGGGTCTGGAGTCCTCAGTAGATAGCCCTGAGTTCCTTTCTGGTGCCTCAGATCTAGGAATCAGCTGCTCTTACTCAGGAACTTTTCCTTATGGAAGTTTGCATCGTTGAGGTGGAAAGACGCCACTGCCTCTTGGGGCAGGGGAGGCATTGTTCGTCTTTGCACCCCATGACCCGGGATTTGTGCATCACATTCATCCTTGCATCAGCTAAACCCATGGAGGTTTTGATTCAGCAGGCCTAGGCCAGGACCTGGACAGGCAAGGTTTTAAATACTCCAGATGATGTTACTGTAGATTTTGGGTTGACAGCCAGCTGGCTATTTGTCACCACAGCTAGCTGGCATGGACGGGGATGGTCCTAGGTGACTCGGGAGCCAGACGTGTTGCCTTGAGGGACCTCACAGCCAGGCTGCTCCTTGTTGAGACTCTCCCCCTCCTAGCTCCCCCTTCTTGGACTCTAGCCCTTCATTTCCCTCTGTCTGTCCCGCAGCCCCTCCTGAGGCCATTTGCCAACTGTTGTATATTTCCGGCGTGATCTCAGCCATAGTCGTGGACACACCTACCACCAATATACTTGCAACTCCTACATTTCACCCCCAGCCTGACCTCTGCTCATAGACCCGTGACCTGCCTCTCGGCTGTTTTTGCAGGAAATGGGAGTCAGGATGTCGAAACCCAAACTCGCCCCCAACTCCCTGCCAGAGTCACCCTTCCTCCCAAACTACCACTTACCCAGTGGCCTCTGCAGTATCCCAGTCTCTGGCTTTCCCTGCCCTGCTCCATGCTGCCCTTTCCACTCGCAGCCTCTACCTTCTGCAGGGTAACACCCCATGCAGACACCCCAGCCAGGGTAAGTGCCGCATCAGCTGACACCCTTTCCCTTTACAGTCTGCCAGTTCTGTGAGGCTCATGGGGACCTGTGATCTCCCAGCCCCCTGCTGTGCCTCCTCAGGCCTTGCTACTCCAGCTGGAATACTAATGCCCTGCCAGGAAACACTTGCCATCCTAGTCAACTCTTGCTTCTTCAAGACAACCCAAAATGTCACCTCCTCTGGGACATTTTCCCAAAACCCAGGGCTGCACTTCAGGGAGAGGTTTTGTATTCTGATGGCTCCTCGGCAACTTGGCTCTCAGCCTGCATCTTACGGTGTTATGATTATAGATTTACATGTCTGGCTGTCCCGCTAGACTGGAAATTACTTGAAAACAGGTACTGAGTTCTACCATCTTCACGTGCCCTCCCCATGAAACCACTAAAGATGGTGCCTGCCTCATATGAGCTGAGTGAATACCTGCTGAATGAGTGAATAAATGAACCTGCAAGTAGCTTCACTGATCCTAAAAACACGTCAGTCAAAAAACAAAACAAAATAAACAAAAAAGCAAAGCAACAAGAACAACAAAATAAAAAAGAGGATTGGGAGCTCAATCCCTGTCTATGGGATGCAAAGACAGTGGTCCCCCACGAGGCAGGCCCTGAAGAAGCAGCCAGTCTTTCCTTCTCGAGATGCGCTTCCATCAGGAAAAGTTGCTGAGATGGATGGATGGATGGATGGATGGGCTGAGGGTAGACTGAGGGTGCAGCAGTAGTTCAGCATGCGTGAGGTCCTGGGTTCTGTGGCAAGTGCTGCAAAAAAGAAAAGAGGAAAAGCAGTTCTAAAAGATTGGAAACTTTGGATCGGGGATTTAGCTCAGTGGTTCCAGTGTCTGCCTGGCAAGCGCAAGGTCCCGAGTTTGATCCATGGTACCCCCAAAAAATAAATAAATAAAAAATAAGTGCCTGGCACCTTTGAGGTCAGTGGAGACATAGGTGATGAGAACAGGCTGAGTGGCAGCAGGTGGAGAGGTAAGTGAAAGGCAAGTTAGAAAACACCGAGTAGAGAAAGTGTGCGTGTGTGTGTGTGTGTGTGTGTGTGTTTTGGTACTGGGGATAGAACTCAGGACGTTGTACTTGCGGGGCAGGCAGCGGAACCACTGAGATAAATCCCTGGCCCGAGAAATTGGTTTTTTTTTGTTTGTTTTTTGTACAGGGGATTGAAGTTGGGGCCTTGCTCTTGTGAGGCAGGAGGTGGCCACCACTGAGCTAAATCCCTGACCCTTTTGTTTTTAAAACTTGGCTTTAAAGGGTACAGGTCTGTGCCCTTGAATGTCTTTAAATTTGGGGGCGATTTCACTATAGATACTCCCTGAGGGTGAAGAGCTTGGGGAGGGAGGGAGGTAAAGGGCAAGCAGGGACTTGGGTGGACAGAAGGGAGGGTCCAGCCCTCACTGGATGCCCCATCTGCGCAGGGACACAGGACCCAGGGACATGCTGATCACATATGTTTCTCTGCAGGGCGAGCCCCCCTTGGCCCTGGGCCTGTCCACATGGAAGGCCCTGAGTGTCCTGAAGGAGCAACTGGAGGCCGTGTTAGAGGGACACCTCAAAGAGCGGAAGAAACGACTTACATGGAAGGTGAAGGTTCTTCACAGGCATCCAGAGCCTGGGTGGGATGGGAAAGAAGCTCAGGAGGCCCCTTCTTGGGGCTGCGATGTGCCCTGTCCACCTGGGTAGTGGGAGACCCAAGCAAGGCATATGAATGGTCAGATGGAGCTGGGTGCGGTGGTGCACACCTGTAATTGCAGTACTCTGGGAGGCTAAGGTAGGATGATCACAAGTTCAAGACCAGCTTGGGCAGCTTAGTGACTCAGTGAGACTCTGTCTCAAAATAAAAAATGGAAAAAGGGCTGGTGATATGGCTCAGTGTGAATGCCCTGGGTTCATTCCCCTGTGGTGCAAAGAGGGAAAAAAAGAAAAAGGAAGTCGAGATTCCTTCTCAGAGGAGCCCAACATACTGGACCCCAGCCAAGGTCAAAGGGATTGGACCAAGATAGCCATGGGGACTCACTGGGGCGGTGAGGGGCAGGGGAACCCGGCAGATGAGAGCTGGACGGGTCACCCACTGCCTTTCTGCCGTTAACCCCCAGGAGGTTTGGAGAAGCAGCTTCCTGCACCACAGTAACCGCTGCTCCTGTTTCCACTGGCCTGGGGCCTCGCTCATGCTGCTGGCTGTGCTGCTGCTACTGGGCTGCTGTGGGGGCCAGCCGGCTGGGAGGTAAACAGGGCCCCACAGACTTCTGCCAGTGCCCCACCCTATCTCCCTGGGACACTCCAAGGCTCTGAAGAGGCTGCTGTCCCTGAGCTGTTGCCACAGTGGGCTACTACTGGGTGTGTGAGGCTCTTCTTGGTCCCTTGAGTCCCCTGACTCAGGAACCAGGTGAGACACTCTTTCCAGAAAGGACTGGCTGGAAAGGGGGTGTCTTGGACCTGGGGGCTGGGTAGGGTGAGGGTCTTTACTTCCTGGAATTACACCCCACACCCTGCATCCCAACACTAGCCATGGGGTGGAGCTGGTCAATGCCTCTGCCCTCTTCCTGCTGCTGCTTCTCAACCTCATCCTCATTGGGCGGCAAGATCGGCTGAAGCGCCACGAGGTGGAGCACAGGCTCCGGGGGATCATTGACCAAATCCAAGGTGAGGCAAGAGCCAGGTGTGTCAGTGGGAAAGGCGCCCTGTGATGTGTCAGAACCCTGAGACTCCCTGCCAGTGCCCAGCATCTGGGGATGGCCTACGGTCAGCGTTCCAGGGGCCATCGTACTCGGCAGAGCTGGAAGGATGTCTTGCCCTCTCCTGAGCAGGGCAGTGAGGACTGTGGGATAGCTGCGGGCACCTAGGCAGTGGCCTGGGAAGACAGGAAGCTGATGGTGGCACCGTGGGCTTACGAGCTTGCAAATGTTGGGAGACAGAGAAGATCCTGTCTCTTGACAGAAGGGCAGTTGAGATGTCCTCTTCCGTGTCTGTCTGGTCTGGGGAAAAGGTGGGAAGGTAGACCAGGGCCCCTGAGATGCCTGCATTAATCAGGGTTGGGCAAGGAGTTGGGAGTTCAAAATTAGTATCCCATTGCCTAAAGGAGCGAGCCATTGCTCACTCCTGTCTAGCTGGCACTTATTAAGCTGCAGCTATTGATCATTACATTGGGCTCTTTGGAGAGACTGTGGTTCCTGCTTTCCAAGGGCACATGGTGGTGTCAGAGGAGCAGCCCTTGCTCCAGGCCTTTCTTTGACAGTGCCAGGCAGTGGATGTTCAAGGGCTAGGTGAGAATTTGCTCGTTCTGAAATGATTAATTGCAATCATAAGCTGGGGCCTGGGAGTACAATGATAGCTGAGAATGATGTGCCTTGCTCTCCAGGAGCTTAGTCTCTTGCTCAGGAACCATCAGTGGCTCCCTCTTGCTCCTCCAAGCTATCTCAGTTTCTGCCAGTGGCTTCCCAGTGTCCCCTCCCCAGGCTCTGACCTTCCTGTCCAGCCTCTCTTCTTCTTACTATTCACCCTCCCATTAGAGCTACTCATTCTCCCTAGACCCTCTGAACCAACATCCTCTGTGCCTCTGACCTATTCTTCTCTGCCTAGTGAGCTCCCTCATTCACCTCTGGTGGACAAATCTTTTTTTTTTTTTTGATACTGGGGATTGAACTTGGGCGATGGAACCACTGAGCTAAATCCCTGGCTCTTTGGTGGACAAAATCTTTACCAGTCTTCCTGGCTATTCCCACATGCTCCCTTTCCCCAGAAGCCCTGGCAGATAGGTTTGCTCCCCATTCCATACTCCTTGTGGTGCTTTGTTAACCCACTTAGCAAATATTTGCCTGGTTTGCAGTTGTCTGGCCAAGCACCTCCTTTCCCCACTGTGCAGTAACTCCGCAAGGGCAGGGACCGTGCTGTCTGTGCCTTGTACCCCTCACAGCCCCTCCGCAAAGTGTGAAGTGTATTGGAGTGGAAAGGGAGGGGGTACAATGATAAAGTCTTCAGAGGATGAGAGCAGGTAGAAGTGCCTGGGCTAGAGCCGCTAGGGATGGCTTCACAGGGGAGGCATCACTGGAACAGGGAAGCATTTGAATAATTGGTGTGGGTACGAGAAAGGAGGTGGTGTCCCTTGGTGTGTGCTGGGCTGACTGGAGGGTGAGAAGTTTGTTTCTCTTTCCTTTCTCATCAGATGCCCTCAGGAACGGAAAGGAGATCAAGTGGCCGAATGCCATGTATCCAGACCTCCACATGCCATTTGCTCCATCCTGGTCCCTGCACTGGGCCTACAGAGACGGCCACCTGGTCAACTTGCCAGTTAGCCTGTTGGTAGAAGGGGACATCATAGCCCTGAGACCTGGCCAGGAATCCTTTGCCTCCTTGAGAGGGATCAAGGTAGCTGGAGGCTGCTCTTCTTTCTGGGAACTGCTGGGGGAACATCTGAAGGCCTTTGGGGGCGCCCAGGGCTCATCCTGAAGCTTTCTGGCCAGTCAGTGGGCTTTGAAAGAGTTCTCGGACAGAGCTGGAACCTCCTCTTCCTCGTGCTGCTCTTTCTCCTCTCGAATCCTAATCTTACAGGCCCTACCCCGATGGTCTCTTTGGCAGTGGATGGCCTCTGACCCCTGGATCTGTCTCCACTTAGCTGGCACTGTCCAGGAAGTGCGGCCTTGACAGCCCTTTCCTTCCTCTCGCCTCTCTTCATGCTGACAGGATGACGAGCACATCGTCCTAGAGCCGGGAGACCTGTTCCCTCCTTTCTCTCCGCCACCCTCGCCCCGAGGAGAGGTGAAGAAAGGGCCACAGAGCCCTCAGCAACACCGGCTCTTCCGTGTCCTGGAGACTCCTGTGATCGACAACATCAGGTTGGGAAGGGTGCCATCCTCCTCCTCCTTCCCGTGCTGTCCTCTCCCCCAGCCTTCGCGGAGGCGGTCTGAGAGCAGGCCCCTCCTCAGGATCTTCTCAGTCTGGTGGAGGAGTTTTTAGGCCGAATGGCAGCCCCCACCCGGTCTGCTCTGAGGATCCAGCTCTGGAGATGGTTGCAGGCACCTGCCTGCCCCACCTGCAAAGGCCAGGGCAGACCAGGGAGTTTGAGGACTCCACAGTGCTCGGTGAACCCTGGCTGGTTGCGAGGCCCAGAGACTTTGCAAAGCACAGGATTCTGACCTTTTCCTCCTTTGGAGCCGAGCGTTGTCTCTTTCTGCAGATGGTGTCTGGACATGTCCGTGTCCCGCCCAGTCACTGCTCTGGACAACGAGAGGTTCACAGTGCAGTCAGTGATGCTGCACTATGCGGTGCCCGTGGTCCTGGTGCGTGAGTGGGGCCGTGGGGCAGGGGAGAGGGCCAGACATGGGGGGCCTTGGGGCCAGAGCCAGTTGGGCTAGGGAGCAAGCAGAGGGCCCGGCGTGAGCCTGCCAGGGAGCTTAGAGGCTGACCCTCCCCAGGGAGGGGCTGAGGCTGCACCCTGCTGTCCCTGCAGGCTGGCTTTCTCATCACCAATGCCCTGCGCTTCATGCTCAGTGCCCCCGGGGTCATGTCCTGGCAGTATACTCTCCTCCAGCTCCAGGCAAGTTCGGCTCTTTCTTCTCCGTTGTGCTTCTCTCACCCATGGGGCCTCTCATTGCTCCTCTCCACAGCGCAGAGTCTCCCCAGGCTTCAGCTTAAGAATTCCTTCGTCCCCTCCTTCCCTTCCTGCCCCTGGAAAGCTGTCCTTTCCACCCAGGGGAGGGCCACATGGCAGGGCAGCTCTCCTCTTCTCCCTGCTGGGCCAGCCAGCAGCTCCTCGGGAGCCTCCTGTGATCCACTCCTTCCCAGGTGAATGGCCTGCTGCCCATCCTCCCCCTGCTCTTCCCAGTCCTCTGGGTCCTGGCCACTGCCTGTGGAGAAGCTCGTGTCCTGGCACAGATGAGCAAGGCCTCACCCAGCTCCCTGGTAGGTTGTTCCAAGGCATATGGGGGACAGACGCAGGAACAAAATGAGGGACCTCGCCGACCTGGCGAAGGAGGGGCAGAACCCAGCCCCACCTTGGGGCTGCATATTTGAGGCCCTGGATAGCTCTCCAAGGCTCTGGCTCTTTCCGTTTCAGACCTCTAGGCCAGGCCAGGGTGACAGTGGCGCCTTCCTGACTCCTACCAGTGGGGAGTCAGGACTGCCAGGTGCCTTTTCATAAAGGGGATGGGGCCGGGGGTCTCCATCCTGCCAGTGTGGAAGCCCTGTGAGGTCAGGCTTTCCTCATCCAGGCCCTCTTCCTTTGTGCAGCTAGCCAAGTTCTCAGAGGACACTCTCAGCAGCTACACGGACGCTGTCTCTTCCAAGGTACACTGTGATAGATTCTACCTCTGTCCTAGAACCCTCTGACCCTATTTATGGCCTTGAGTCTCCTGCCAGGCTCTTGTGCTCCATCCCCACCCACCCACTGAATATGGGCATTACCCAGGCCTGATCCCGTGACACCTGACACCATGCCTCAGAACCCCAGCTTTGAGGTGCTCCCCGGACTTTTCCCCAATTTGGGTCTCAGAGGCAGTCTCTAGGGAGATAAGACTATGCCCCAGATGGCCTCCCAGACTCTCTCTCTCCTACCAGGAAATGCTGCGCTGTATTTGGGGCCACTTCCTGAGGGTGATCCAGGGGACGTCACCGACACTGAGCCACAGCGCCAGCCTGCTGCACAGCTTGGGCTCCGTCACGGTAAGGGTGGCCCCGCAGAGAAGAGGCACCTGTCACTCCAGGCCTGCTGTCCATCTACCATTTGAGTGGCCCCTGGGTGGTTGGGCCACCGCCAAGGCCTTTCCAGCGCTGGCCTCACTCCTTGCAGGTCCTGTGCTGTGTAGACAAACAGGGGATCCTGTCCTGGCCAAATCCCAGCCCAGAGACTGTGCTCTTCTTCAGTGGGAAGGTGGAGCCCCCTCACAGCAGCCACGAGGACCTCACGGATGATCTGTCCACCCGCTCCTTCTGCCATCCTGAGGTAGAGGAGGAGGTATGGCTGGCTCCCACAGGCCGACTGAGCCAAGCCGCTTAGCTGTGGAGCCTGGCCTGTGGCCTTGGGAGGGTGAGAGTCAGGGAGAAGGAGGGGATTCAACACCTCTGGGAGCTGCCTCTGAGCAGTTGCGGTGAAGCCACGGGACAAGGCGGTGAGGGGCCCAGAACTGCTCCATCTCCCTGGTCCTAGGCCTGCACTCCTGTTCTCCTCAGCCCCATGAACGAGATGCCCTCCTGGCTGGCTCCTTGAACAATACCCTGCACCTTTCCAACGAGCAGGAGCGTGGCGACTGGCCTGGTGATGGTCCCAAGCCCCCCGAGCCCTACTCTCACCGCAAAGTGCACGGCCGCAGCAAACACCCGTCTGGCTCCAACGTGAGCTTCAGCAGGGACACTGAGGGTGGAGAGGAACAGCCTAGCAAGGTGAGAGAAAGGCAGGGTGGAAAGGCCCCCTGGTCCACCACAGACTGTCCTGTCCGCACCTTCTAAAGGGAGCCTGAATCAGCAGGATCTAAGACAGCAGAAATTGCCGGGTGCAGTGGTACATACTTGTGATCGCAGCTACTCAGAAAGCTGAGGCAGGCAGGTTGCAAGTTTGAGGCCAGCCTGGGTATTTTAGTGAGACCCTGTCTCAGGAGAAAGTAAAAAGGCTGCTGATGTAGCTCTGTGGTAGAGTGCTTGCCTAGTATGCATGAGGCCCCGAGTTCAGTCTCCAGTACTGTTAAAGAAAGGAAGAAAGGAAAGAAAAGAAAAGAATTCAGAGGTCACATACAGAGCCCTCCCGCTCCCCTGGCTTGGCAGCCTCTTGAGGTTCAGCCTGAGTCTCTTCTATAAAGTGGGCGCCACCCCCTCCAGTTCTCACTGATGGCCGCTGCCCTAACAGAACCTTCCAAGCACACAAAGCCGCAGCTCCCTCGCTGGTACTGTCCTGTGGCTAAAAAAAGACCTCTTATTGTTCTCTGCCTGTGTGCCTGTCACTCCTTATCAGTATTGCCAGTGTTGCCAATGTCACCGCGTGTAGATCCTAGAGAAAGGACCCCGAGGACAGGAATGGGCCCGCGGGGACACCTGCACCCCTCCCAGGATGGTGCCCCTCCTTGCAGAGCCAGCCTCGGGCAACAGCCTGACCTCCAGCCCTGCCCCATGTTTCCCCAGGCCCAGCCCGGGACCGAGGGTGAACCCTATGAGGCGGAGGACTTCGTGTGTGACTACCACCTGGAGATGCTGAGCCTGTCCCAGGACCAGCAGAACCCCTCCTGCATCCAGTTCGATGATTCCAACTGGCAGCTCCACCTCACCTCCCTCAAGCCCCTGGGCCTCAACGTGCTGCTGAACCTGTGTAATGCCAGTGTCACTGAGCGTCTGTGCCGCTTCTCCGACCACCTGTGCAACATCGCCCTGCAGGAGAGCCATAGCGCAGTGCTTCCCGTGCACGTGCCCTGGGGCCTCTGCGAGCTGGCCCGCCTCATCGGTATGGCTGTGACAGTGGTGGTAGCAGCAGCAGGGCAGAGTTGGCTGGGTAGCAACTGACCCCAGCACTGTCTCCAGACAGACCGGACGCTGGCACTGCCCTTGCTTGTCAGGAGCACCCAGCATTCTTCCAGCTTGGGACAGTCTGTCTTTAGCCAGCCACTGTGGTGTGTGATAAAGCTTCCTAGTCTGGAAGACACCTGAGCTTTGGGATGGAAACGTGGAAGAAGCTGGCCAGATGGACTAGATTCTGTCAGTGCCAGGGGACTGAGGTGGCCTGTGGTGCAAGCCCTTGCCGAGTGGCCCTGAGTCCCATGTTCATCTGCAGGCTTCACGCCGGGAGCCAAGGAGCTCTTCAAGCAGGAGAACCACCTGGCGCTCTACCGCCTCCCCAGTGCCGAGACCATGAAGGAGACCTCACTGGGACGGCTGTCCTGTGTCACCAAGCGGCGCCCTCCCCTCAGCCACATGATCAGCCTCTTCATCAAGGACACTGCCACCAGTAAGCCTTGTGCCAGCTCCGCTGGTCTAGCCAAACCTGCCAGAGCCCGGTGGGTGGGAGGCTCTGTTCTGCCCCATTCATTCTGGGAAGGCCGAACAGTAGACCGCTTCCTGAGTCCTTCAGTGTGGCAGGGACTGGGCTTGGGGACTAGGGCCACAAGGGTGGGATTGTCCAAAGGACAGGAAATATAGTGTCTATGTGACCGGCTCAGTGGAGTTCCATAGTAGCTTGCTTACTGTGAGGCCTGGGAGCCCCTTCTCTGTCAGAGCCTCCTTGGCACCCTTCTCAATGCTGGCAACATGCCACTTGTTAGGTCAGAAGCAGGGCAGGAGCTTTGTAGGGCCCTCCTGGTTGGGCTTCTCTATCTTTTCCCTAGGCACAGAGCAGATGCTGTCCCATGGCACAGCTGATGTGGTCTTGGAGGCCTGCACAGACTTCTGGGATGGAGCCGACATCTACCCTCTTTCGGGTTCTGACAGGTGGGTGAGGAGTTTGCCAGTCGACCTGCCTGTCTCATAGTCACAGGACATCTCAGGCCCAGTCACTTCACCCCACTCTGCTTCCCTGGCAGAAAGAAAGTGCTGGATTTCTACCAGCGAGCCTGCCTGTCTGGTTATTGCTCTGCCTTCGCCTACAAGCCTATGAACTGTGCCCTGTCCTCTCAGCTGAATGGCAAGTGCATCGAGCTGGTGCAGATGCCCGGCCAGGGCAGCATCTTCACCATGTGTGAGCTGCCTAGCACTGTCCCTATCAAGCAGAATGTCCGCCGCAACAGCTGGAGCTCTGATGGTATCGTGTGCTACCCACTGGCTGGGGCTGGGGCTGGGGCTCCCAGGGGCCAGGAGTCCAGGAACAGGAGGGCTTTCAGACGGCAAGGGCTTTGCTTGAAGCAAAAGGTACCCCAGGCCCATATAGGAGCTAGGATGCCAGCCTGGCCCTCCCTAGCTGGTGATGTGGTAATCCCCGGTTTTCACATATACAAATTGGTGCTTACTCTGTCCACTTCACAGGTTGGTTGTGATGTTCAAGGGGGTTAATGTACACAGAAGTGCTTTCTGTTCCAGTATTCTGGGAGGGTGAGGCAGGAGGATCACAAATTTGAGCCCAGACTAGACAACTTAGTGAAACCTACCTTAAAAAAATATATAATAAAGGGCTAGGAATATAGATCAGTGTGAATGCCCTGGGTTCAATCTCTAGTACCAGCAAAAAAAAAAAAAAAAAAAAAAAAAA